CTACTGGGGAAAACTCGAACACACAAGCACCAAGTTGTGGGGCTAAAAGTAGACCCACACCAGCTCAGCACCTCTCACCATGGGCAACTCCAGCATAGAATAAAGTCCAGTCTATCTCAAGGAGACTGGTTCCAAAGCCCATGCTGTGCATCCAGATGACCTCAACTATATCTAGTCAGTACCTCTCAACCTCACGTACAACCTCAGGCTCCTTCCCTGCCAGAGAGTTACATTCCATGTCCCAAGAGCCAGCTTTGATAAGCCAGGGTCAGAACGCCAAGGTCCCCACCTTGGACAACTGCCCATGGTGTCATGCAACCGACTTATATGGCCCGTTCTGCAGGTGGTGGGCCCACAGGAAGGAAGCCCATGTTGCTCATTCGGGCCGAGCCTGACCGGGCCTCATGGGTAGAGACCCAGTCACCAGGTGCTTGCCAACGAGCCTCTCCCCCAAGGCTGGCTCCAGGGTGGGGCCCCGATAACCCACGTCCGGGCAAGGCACACTGAGTTCATTGTTTTATTTTGTTCATATAAGTCTTTGGAATCACTTTTTGTCTGGCCTGTCACCTAGAACCAATCTGTCTTAGGAGACCCTACCAGGGACAATTACACTTGCTCCAAATAGCATAGCTCCTAGGATCATTCATTTGATTACTTCCTGATTATTTTAATACACTTCCTTAACTATTTTATTTTTTATGCAGCACCAGCAGATGAGGTTTAGGATTGTTGGTTGCATAGGGGCCATTATTGTCATTACTGTTGGACTCATGAATCTCTAACTAGAATAATCACTGTGAAAAACCACATCATGTTGCTGCTGATCTGTTTCATGTTGCTGCTGATCTGTTTAAATGTTGATGTGTCCATGCGTGCACATCTGCTCACAGACTCATGTTCATGTTTGTGCTGATGTTCAATGTTTTTATGTTATGAGTGCTTAGTGTATATTTAGTTGATGTTTTTCTTAGTTCATATCTTAGATGTTATTACTGTTTTTCTTATACATTTTATTATTGGATGTAACTGGGACCCTGTGTACATAATTTCGCTCCACCACATGTACAACATGAGGTGCTAATGACAATAAAGAATCTCTGACTCTCTGACTCTGATTATCCATTAATCACTAGACGTCTACAGGTCATTAACTTTCAGAGTCACTTCAAATCAAGATGTCTGACACAGTTAACAAACCACAAAACATGGCTGTACATCAGGTTTTCGCAGAGATGAAGGCCAAATTTGATGTGGTAATAGCTGAAAGTCACTCCCAACGCATGATATGAGTGCTAATAGATCTCACAAATTTTGATATTAGGTGTTTTTTTAAGGTTTGACTGAAACATCTTTAACTACAGAACAGAAACCCAGTAGTTTTGTTTTTTAAATGCAAGATAGTCAGAGCTGATGCCTCACAGTGGGATGGTCGCCAGTTCAAATCCTTACTGGGGACCTTTCAGGGTGGAATTTGTCTGTTCTCTCCGTGCTGCGTGGGTTTTCTCTGGGTGTTCCGGTTTCCTCCCACAGACCAAAAACATGCATGTTAGGCTGATTGGTAACTCTAAATTGTCTCTAGGTGAGAGTGAGACAGGGAGTGGTTGTTTGTCTTGTTTGTCTCTGTGATTGACTGACCTGTCCAGGTGTTCCTGTGATGGACAGTAGACCTTTAGGGCTGCTGTGGCTGAGTGGTAAGAGCAGACATCCTCCATTGGGAGAGTTGGGGGTTTGAATCCACCAGCAGTCACATGCCCAAGTGTCCCTGGGCAAGAAACTGAACCTCGTTGCCTCCAATATGTGTCCCATTGGTGTATGCACGTGATAAAATACTAATTAGTCTCTTTAGAATGACTGGTTCAGTTAGCTTTGTAGAGATCTAGTAGAGTGCTGTATGAATGGGTAAATAAAGGCACAGATTGTAGTGTAAAGCGCTTTGAGTGTCTTAAGATAGAAAGGTGCTATTTAACTACAGTCCATTCACCTTTTACCTGTCCAGGTGTCCCTGTAATGGACTGGATACCTGTCCAGGTGTCCCTGTGATGGACTGAAGACCAGTCCAGGAGTCCCTGTGATGGACTGGAGACCTGTCCAGGTGTCCCTGTAATGGACTGGAGACCTGTCCAGATGTCCCTGCGATGGACTGGAGAACTGTCCAGGTGTCCCTGTGATGTACTGGAGACCTGTCCAGGTGTCCCTGTGATGTACTGGAGACCTGTCCAGGTGCCCCTTTCTCTCAGGGACTGCTGGATATTGACACCAGCTCTCTGCAGCTTGGAAAGGAGAAGCGGGTAAAAAAGTCGATGATCTTATAAAACTCTGGCATGAAAGCTGGTGGACCAAATTCAGCTTATACTGACCAATACCGGCTTCTTGCAAAAGAGAACTTTGTTTCATAAAAACCTTTATCCTGCACACACATGTGCACGCACAAACACACACACACACGCACCTGCAGAAGAAACTCGTCCATTTCTGTGTTCATTAGCTGGTGGACAGGTTTACAGAGAGGACGGGACTTTAAAGATGACCTGGAGTCACATCTGCAGTGAGATAATCTGAGTCATGAGTATTGTTGATACAGCCATCCCCCCCCCCCCCCCCCAACACACACCACCCATCACAGCTACTGAAGCTACTTAGGGAGAGTAAACCCCCCGTGTGTTTGCTGCTTGGCTAGTTTCATTTCTACATTTCAGACCTTCTACTTGTGACGTGGCTCGTTTCTGTCCCTGCCTTTGTGACCCAGCTGCTCCTTCTATGACCCCCCAATCCCCACTTCCTCCTTTTCCGCCTCCTCCTGACCTGTGTGTGTGCTCCTCTCCCCCATCAGTGGCTCTCTGCTACAGTATGTGTGTGAGAGAGACAGCCAGCGGGGGTGGGGGCAGTCGACTCACCCTTCCAGTCTCCTAGCAACAGAGCGGTTTGGTGCGGGACGGGGGGGGGGGGGGGGGGGGTGTGATGGGAGGCTGGTTGTACAGTGGTTGGGGAGAGCAAAGTCCTGCGGGATTAGGAAGCTGGAGAGAATAAGGAGAAAGGAGAAGGAGGGCAGCAGTTACTCCTGCTGATGTTTGGTGCAGCTGAGGAGGTGGTGCCGTCCAACATCTGGTCTCCTTGGAGGTGCTGCATCTCTGAAACACACACATTAAAAAGCGCACTGAGTTTTCAGGTGTGCTCTCCGTTGATCGGAGTTTGAAAACAAAGAGCACGAGGTGCACGAGGCCGTCAGAAGGCCTCCGAGCTCCTTTCATTTATTCAGAGTCCAGAGGAAGTTGAGCTGCAGGGATTTAACAACGCTCACACTAATAAATGGTTCAGCTTCATCACAGGAGACTCAAGTCATTGTTGGATCCAGACAGAAACCACTGGATCATTCCAACAGTTTTATGAAAACATTTAACAGATGGAAAACATTTAACAGATGAAGTGTTCTCAGGCTTCTCTGACAGGTCGACAGTATTACGAATCGATTGAGGTCAGAGGAAACGCTCCCAGCTGAACATCCTGTGTGTGACAGATATTCTGTGGAGGCAGCAGTGATGTGGGTGCACCACACACACCCCACAGTTGTATGAGATTATCCAAATCCAGCGTGAATGGACCTGACACCATTGTCCCAAGCAGCTGCAGCTTCAGCAGCAGCAGCTTCAGCGTGGTGATGTCAGAGAAGATGATGATACCTTCGAGTGTGATGATGGGAGGTGGAGCGCTATTATTTCATTTATTATTGTTACATGTAGCCCGTGCTGACAAGTAGGGAGGGGGGCAGCAACTGTGGTACTGAGAGAAGGAAAGCAAGCGAGGGCCGGATTAAAACAAACCCGCTCTGTGAGCTGGTTTTAGTTGCCATGGTAACGATCATTACCTCGCACTTGGGAGAGCAGGAGCAAGGAGAGAGGAGAGGAGGAGGAGAGGGGGTTGGTGGAGGATGAGGATGGGACGGGATGAAGAGGCGGGAGGAGGGAGGCAGTTTGAGGCAAGTGGAGAAAAAAAATGCTACGATGTCTCAGATCAACTTTTTTCAACTCGAGACTTGAACAGGAGACACAGAGAATCCCAGAGCAGTTCTTCCTGAACAAAAATAGTAAATGTAGACGTCCCGGTCCGTTTCTATCTGTTGCTCAGCGGAAACTGTGGCACAGCAGCCGTGTGACGACTAAAGAATGGTTTAGAGGAAAACATGAAGCCCCATGTGGTGCTGTGGAAGGAGACGGTTGTCCTGGCGATCCTTCTTCTATGGTGGTCACATGACCCTCACCCAGCACACCTGCCCGGGAGAAATCGGTGGCAGTTTCTATGGCGACAGGGTCAGTAGTATCGGAGGCAGGATGGCTGCCAGAGGTGGTGGTAGGAGGGACTGCTGGTCTCATGGAGTGTTATTTTTAAACATGAAGTGATGGCTGCACACCCAGCCAGGAAAAACCCCATGACTGCAGGATGGTGGACTCACTATGCCGTGTTTCACCATCACAATCACACAACCTCCGACCTCTGTGTGTTCACACTCTTAAAGGACACACCCAATGATTGCAGGTTGGTGGGGACACTAAGCCGTGTTTTACCGTCACAATCACACGACCTCCGACCTCTGTGTGTTCACGATCTTTAAAAGGCACACCCAGCCAGAAAAAAACCCCATGACTGCAGGATGGTGGACTCACCACGCCATGTTTCACCATCACAATCACACGACCTACGATCTCTGTGTTCACGATCTTAAAGGATACATCCAGCCAGGAGAAACACATCACTGCAGGATGGTGGACTCACCACATCATGTTTTAACATCACACTCACATGACCTATGACCTCTGTGTGCTCACTATCTTATTTCCATTTACAATTTCAGTCATTAAAAATTTTCTTGCTGGATCGATAAAGTTCTAGCTTATCTTACAGTCACATGAACTTATGACCTCTGTGTGTTCACGATCTTAAAGGACACACACAGCCTGAGGTCTTGCCATGAACTGAACTGAGTGCTTGTCTGTGTTTCAGTGTTCGGACGGGGGCTCGGCCCAGGACAATTCGTCTTTGAAGCGTGTGGCTGTAGTCGAGGACTTCTTCGACATCATCTACGCCATGCACGTGGAGATGGGCGCTGATCCAGGCAGAGCACCCAAACACGCCGGCCAGAAGAAGACCTACAAGGCGGTGAGTAAAGTTTGTCAGGTGAGGGTCCTCCTGATTCATGCTGACAGAGTAAGGGTTAACCCTAAAACAACCTGTCTCACCCTCAGTGTGCATGAGGCTGGATCCATCCAGTCGCAGGTGGCTGCAGATGCAGCATCTACTTTGTAAAACAACAAACCAGAGAAAATAATGTGCAAACAGTCAGGAAAGGCAGCAGGATATTGAATGAGTTTACTAGATATTTGAACATTGTTTTGGATGAACAAAATGTTGACACTAAATCTCTGTAATCATGAGCCAGATTCTTGGAACATATTTATGTGTATTCAAAAGGATCAATAAAGCAGGACAGAAGTCGGTTGTGTAAAAGTTTAAATGCACCAAAGGTCCAGAAACATCTTTTATACTTTGAATTAGAGAAGAGTTTCAACATTAGTCAAAATTTAAAAAAAAAGTAGTAATTTTCTGTGAAACGTTTGTCTTTTGAGGTCTTTGCAGCCTTCTCAGCCTGGAGTTCAGCACTCCTTAGCTTCAAACTGGTTTAACTATGTGTTTAAAAAATGAGCTGAAGATGAGCCTAAGGGTGCATTCACACCAGCCCTGTTTAGTCCGCTTTAATCGAACTCTAGCTCGTTTTCCTAGAAAGCCCATTTCGTTTGGGGAGGTGTGAATGCGCCATCAAACTCTGTCACGGAACAAAAAGGCGTACTCTGGCCCGGGCTAAAACCTAGGTCTCGGTCCGGTAGAAGAGAACTCCAGCACGGTTTGAGTACAGTGTGAATGTAAACAGACCGAGCCCCGCTCCGCAGGGTAAACAAACATGCATTTCTCTGACCTCATATGGAGCCATCAGCTGCCTTGTGTGAAAAACAATATTCTCCATGGTCTTCTGTCTCATCTTCTGCTCATACTGAGTCCATTTTTGAAAAATGACAAAATATAACTCCTAAAACTGCTAAAACTTGATGCCACTCCGTTTTTATTTTTATTTCCAGAAGAAGACGTGTCTTCAGAGGTTTTTGTGTTTCTTTCAGTAGTTCTTGGTGCAGCACCACCACAGGCGAGCGGGGGAATAGGTTGGTTCAACAGGTTGACTCGACTGCACAGTGCAGTGTGAATGCAAACACACCAGCTCAAATGTAAACAAAATGTCATGAATATTGGTCCCCGACCGAACCAAGTCTACCGGACTATCAGGTGTGAAAACAACCTAAGTCAACTCAGGTCACAAAACATGGCTGTTATCGGTAATATACAACCAAGATGCAAAGCATGGCAGAAGAAATAAATGTGCTTTCTGGAGTAATTATTATAGTAAATGTATGATATGGAAATACTTTTTGGAGTACAAAGTATAAAGATTTAGTAATCACTGGTCACAGTCTCAGTGAGACACAAATTAGAGGCTTTCTTGATTTCTGTCTCGTCTATAACTGGACCAAAGACTGGGCCAAAAACTGAAACAAAAACTGGGCCAAAATAGAATCAAGGCTGGACCGAAGGCCGGACCAAAATCTGGACCAAAGACTGTACCACAGACTGTGCCAAAGTCTGGACCAGTGACTGGACCACAGATTGGACCAGAGAATGGGCAAAAGACTGAACCAAAGATCAGACCAAAGGCTGGACTAAAGTCTGAACCAAAGACTGGACAAAAGGCTGGACCAAAGATTGAACCAAAGACTGGACCAAAGATTGGACCAAAGATTGGACCAAAGACTGGATCAAAGACTGGACCAATGACTAGACCAAAGGCTGAACCAAAGACTGGACCAAAGGCTGGACCGAAGATTGAACCAAAAATTGGACCAAAGATTGGACTTAAGATGGGACCAAAGACTGAACCAAAGACTGGATCAATGATTGGACCAAAGACTGGACCAAAGGTAGGACCAAAGATTCAACCAAAGACTGGACCAAGGTCTCAACCAAACACTGGACCAAAAGCTGGACCAAAGACTGGGCCAAAGTCTGGGCCAGATACTGGACCAAAGACTAGACTAATGACTGAACCAAAGACTAAACCAAAGACTGGACCAAAGACTGTATAAAAGACTGGCCCAAAGACTGGGCCAAATACAGGGCCAAAGACTGGACACAAGACTGCACCAAAGACTAGACTAATGACTGAACTTAAGACTAAACCAAAGACTGGATCAAAGACTGAATCAAAGACTAGACCAAAGACTGAACCAAAGACTAGACTAATGACTGAACCAAAGACTAAACCAAAGACTGGACCAAATACTGGATCAAAGACTAGACCAAAGACTGGATCAAAGACTGAACCAAAGACTGAACCAAAGACTAGACTAATGACTGAACCAAAGACCAAACCAAAGACTGGATCAAAGACTAGACCAAAGACTGGATCAAAGACAGGACCAAAGACTGGACCAAAGGCAGCCCATTGTGTTACATCTATGGGTTTCAGGTTGTGTGTGTTGTCCTGACAAAAAGTGAGGCTTTATTTTCAGCTGAAGAGATCCAGATGCAGTGTCAGGGTTGTTCAGAAGGACTTTGGTCCCCCCACCCACTCACCCTCCTGCCCTGTAGATGTCCTGTCACATCTCATACTGCGAACACTTCTGAGGAGGCAGCATCGTCGGGGCAGGGCATAATATGGAGCTGTCACTGTGGCCTTCTGGGACGTGCACGCTCCTCTGGGTGGCCTTTCCCTCTTAGCTGCCTCAAGGGGCCACGAGGAGGGAGGGAGGGGGTTGGCGGACGAACGGGATGGTGGGCACCCCGCCTCCCCATGGTCACGTGAAGGTCGCAGTTTAAAGGGAAACGCCAGAGGGAGTGATGAGGGGATGGTGGCATGGTGGTGTTGGGGGGGGGGGGGGGGCAAAAAAGGGAGGGGGGGGGGGGGGGGGAGACAAACAGGGAAGGAGGTGGGGGGGAGAGACAAACAGGGAGGGAGGTGTAAATGTGAGCTGGCTGCACCTGAGGAAGCAGGAGGAGAAACATTTCAATCCAAAAGCCTAAAGTCCGAAAGTCTCCTGAAGGGAGGGGTACCCGTAGAGGGGTCCTCCTCATGTCAACCTGAGATAACTATAAATAAATCTTTAATAAATAAAAATAACATCACATAAATAAAAACAATAACACATAAATGTGACCCTGAGCTCTCACACATGAAAAATCCAAATAAAACCCAAAATGTTCAGCAGATCTGCTGCTCTAACCTTGTCTGCTCTCTCTCTTGGCATAGATCGCTGAGACCTATGCCTTCCTGCCCAGAGAGGCGGTGACTCGGTTCCTAATGAGCTGTGGAGAGTGTCAGAAGAGGATGCACATTAACCCCAGCACAGCAGAGTTCAAAGGTAAACGTGCACGTGTGACCTCTCATTAACTGTTTCTCACATCAAGCCTGGCTCGTTGTTAAATCTTTGCTTCTTCGCTTTTAACAACATCGAAAGAGTTCCTTAAATGTTGCAGCAGATGCGATGGATCCATCTTTCTCTCTACAACAGCTGTTTACCGGATAACACAAAGAAATATTCCTTTTACTGACTTAAAATGTCTGAAAATGTGATTTTCTATCATCCTGTCAAACACTAAAATGAAGCAATGTGTTTGGATAGTTTTTGAATGGAGCTCCTTTAAATGAAACGTCCGTCCATCACTGACATGACGTAACAAAGACTCCAGAGGACTGGCTCTCTGGGACGGTCCAGGCCTCCAACCTGGTCCCAGACTTCCTCTGCTGGTGGATGTGGACACTGCAGGCAGCTTTTGTTAACAAGCAGCCGAAGCTTGAATATTCAGAGATTCTGTCATGAGCAGAGTATTGTGTGAGAATGTCAGAGTTTGGTGCGGAGCTGTGTGAAACTATAAAACAATAAATAAAGTGCAGTCAATATAAATATTAACTGCTTCACCACTTTACACTGGTGCTTTCACAAATATGATGAAGCGATACAATAACCTGATGTGGACAGTTCAGATATTACAGACTCATACTTTGTTATGGTTTCATTTTTATTGTGTGAATGCTTTTAAGCATTCAGTATTCTGATTTCTATCCCAATTCCGTACGTTTCTCGGAGCAATTCTCATCCTGCAGTTTTCAAGTTATTTCAACAGATCATAGATCAAAACGGTCAGCTCTTTCAGGGCAATCCTGGTTTGACTTTTGGTATTCAGAATCAGAATCAGCTTTATTATCATTGCACTGAGATACAAGGAGAACATGTCCGTACTGTCGTCCAAAAGATGGGCGGAGTGCATGCGGCTGCTATGATAGCACGGCCTTTTTATCCTTTTCAGAATACGATTTTTAGATCGAAAAAGGAACAAAGCCACGAGGAAAGGATAGTGGCATTACAAAAAAAAGATCTCTTCACACCTTGTCCTAACAGGACATGATTTAAAACATCAAAAAATCTCTGCCAGCAAGCACATTTATGACCACGTTACATAAAGCAGGAGGAGAACAGGGAGAGGAAACATGCACTTCATTCCAGAGCAAATGAGGAAAAACTTTCGCTTCTTGAAATATTTAGCCTTTTCTGCCATTTTTCTTTCTCATAGAAAATGAATTGAGCTCATTTTACATCCTTCAAATCTTTAGACCTGTTTACAGCCTTTTACTGCTCCTTTCACATTTTGTTCTGGTTCTGCTTCTTTCAGCTTCTTTGTGCAAATTTAAACATTTTTTCAGCTTCATTCAGCAAATTTCAGCTGTTTTTCCAGCTGTTTTGTGCTCCTTTCAGATTCTTTCTTCTAACTACATTTTTTCTTCTTCTAACTTCTTTCTGCTAATTTCAGCATGTTATTATCCGTTCAACTTATTTCTGCAATTTTCAGCTACTATTTAGCTGTTTTTAATGCTAATTTTAGCTTCAGCTTTGTCAGCTAATATTTCACATTTTTTGCATTATTTTCCATTTTTTTCCAGTCCATTTCAGCAAAAATGTACTCTCTCCACTTCCTTCTGGAAGTTTAATCTTCTCTCTGCCTTTCCAGCGACTTTTCAGCTGTTTTTTTTTTGTGTTTTTTTTTCAGCTTTTTCAGATAATTTCCATTTTTTTGTGCTCATCTCTGCTTCTTTCAGCCTAATTGGGCAAACATGTTCTTTCTGCTTTTTACTGCCAGTTCTGCTAAAACCTGTTCTGCTACCTTTTTAGCATGTTTTTCTCCCTAATGTCAGCTGTTTTCAGATAAATTCAAGTTTTTCATGGTAATTTTTGCTACTTTCAACCTAATGAACTTCTTTATGGTAATTTAAGCTTGTTATGCTCTTTTCAGCTGCTAGTTTAAGCTTTATCTGATATTTCAGCTACTATTTAGCAGTTTTATGCTAGTTTTAACTTTTTAAAATCTAATTCCACCTTTTTTGTGCTAATTTCAGCTCCTTCCACTTCCTTCTGGTAGTTTAAGTTCTTTCTGCCTTTTCAGCTAATTTTCAGTTACTTTTTGCAAATTTAAGCTATCTTTTAGCTAATTTCCTAATTTTTATGCTAATTTATGCTTATTTAAATCTAATTCAACAAATATGTGTTCTTTCTCTTTTCTTCTGCTTATTTCGGCTTATTCTTCCATTTCAGATACAATTTAGCATGTATTTTTAGCTAATTTCAGCTGTTTTTCAGCAAGTTCTTCAGCAATAAGCATTCATACTGTAAAATGCAATTTCTGTAGTCCTCTTTACAATTAACATTACTGTATTTAATTTTAAATGGTATATGGACTGTACATATATCGCGCTTTTCTATCTTATCAAGATACTCAAAGCTCTTTACAACCTTTGCCCTCATTTACCCATTCATACAGCACTCTACTAAATCTCTACAAAGACTAATCAGTGCTTTTAGATAAGAATCATACACCGATGGGACACACATCGGAGGCAATGAGGGGTTCAGTGTCTTGCCCAGGGACACTTCGGCATGTGACTGCTGGTGGAATCGAACCCTCAATAGTAGTTTAGATGTTTCCATATTTAGAAACTGGGCTTAATCTCTTCTAATACAAACAAGCAGAAGATACTGGGATCATTATTTCCTCTAAAATAATTTTACTTTTTTAAACTGCAAAACACAGAACATCAGTCTGAGGAGATCCAAGTAAACTGTTTTCCCCACTAAGGAGTACACTCCTTTGTGTTAAACACTAAGAAGTGTACTCTTTACTTGGGACTCAGACTGATGAAGCCCTCCGGATAGAGGGCGAAGCATCTTTCCACAAAAAAGAAACTGTCCAGATGAACTGACTGACCATTATTGGGTTTAAACTCTTATCTTAATTGAGCATGCATCAGGATATCTTATCTTAACTCATCTTTTCTCTTTCTTTTTAACTCCTCCAACTCATATTAAACATAAGTGTGACTTGTTTTAAACTTAAAGGGGGGGGGGGGGGTATGTTTGAAAGCACTTCATCCAATCAAAATGACATCCTCTAAAAAGGAAATTTATTTTTAGAACCTGTTTTAGCCTCAAAGTTTTATGACTAAGAGACAACATTATCTTAAGTTACATTCCTGATATATAAAGATAAAATAACTTTCACTACACAAAGGAAATAATTAAAGAACTGTTCTTTAGTCTTCAGAAAGTATCCTAATAAAGTTTTGGGTCATAAAAATTTTATGGTCATGGTAAAGTTTCTCTAGAGGAAGTCCTAAGTTGTAAAACGTTCCTAATGTCCTGATAAATAAACTAAATATGCCACTTTTGTAATGTCCTTAGAGGAAACCAGAGACTGATAGGATTGTCTTTCTTGATACTTTCCAGAGACTGGGGTGAGTTGAAACAAAGGAATGATTTGAAATGTCTCATGTTGATAAAAGAATAGGGAGGATTTCTGGAAGTCTTAAGTTTTAAGAGTCTCAGAGCCTAGCTGTCTGATATATGATACTACATTCCCCTCACTTGCTATTTACAATGCAGTTCCATGGTTGGTGAATCGTAACCAACAGTGTCCCTACATCTGGTGTATTCCAACGGACGTTGAGGTAGATCCAAAAAGTCAAAGGGATACTTTCCAAGGAAGGGAAAAAGAGGGGAAAAAAATCAAGGTTATTCTATACAAAGTCCAAAGGAGCCCTCTGGAGGGCAAGGTGAGGTCAACCTCTAGGAGGATGAGGTAGACCGATGAAGTAGACTACAGGAGGATGAGGTAGACTGGACTACTCATCTGGTGACTTCTGGTGCCCATTTAAGTATTTAACTAATTTGTAACTTATTTAATGGGGATAACATGAAATAAATCTTACAGCATGCATTTCTAATGTCAACCAAATTGACAAACTACATTGTTCTTATGTGTACTAAGTTAAAAAGTGGTGAATAACGCCACTGATTTTATACACACACAAATGGACAAGGGGTGTATAAGCTAATGAGTAATTTTAAAGGAAATAAAGCATGCAAAATAAGAATCAAGGAGAGCTGAACAAAACTGGGATCTTGGAACTATGGGTTGCTATAAGTTCCAATATTTCAACAACATAGGGGATGGTGGGCTTGTTTCTTCTATGTCTGAAAATTTTGTTTACTGGGATGGATCACTTATGTGGTTAGTGTTGTGAGGATTAAAAAAATCTAACTTTAACACGCTGATCAGCGGAGTGTGAGCATAAACAACATACAATCCTGACTGCAACTCTAAGTAGTTCACCTCCACTAGTGAGTTGCCATGTTTCAGTTCGTTAGCTGCTTTGCTCTTGCCCAGTGGTTCCCAAACATTTTCTGCTGGGCCCCACTTTGATTTATGAGAAAATGTCCATGCCAGTTTATATTAGGCCATTCAAAAGAGTAACCATGAGTGAGGGAGGTAGTTATCATGAAGACCTGTGGGGTTCAATCTGTCTGTGTGTGTTGAACAGTAAGACATAGTATAAAATGCCATCCGGTGGTTGATTCTTGATCTACAACACGAACTGTACATCTGTCTCTGTAGCTGTGTGCTGCCACTCATGTTACAATGTGAACACCAGCGGCTTATATATGTACAAAATTTATTTATATATATATATATATATTTATGTATATATATATATTTTCTTTTTGTGTGTGCATGACTTATACTCAGGTGCGCTCTATAGACTGGGAATTACGGTACTAGATAACTAGTAAACTCTGCTCTAGTTGTTATTGTTTCAGTTGTGTTTCTGAGCCTTTGCAGTTTAAAATGTCTGAATTGTCTGTTTTTATGGGTTTTTGTTTAAACAATAAGATTTACATACCAGTTCTCTGATTTTCTTTAATGTGCCAAATCTCATGAAATCATTTAAATCTTTTGTGCGACTGTCAACAAAAGGTGAGTTTTGTTGTGAAATCGATAAAGTAAAGAATGGCACAACATCAAAACATTTCATCAAGGTTAGGATTAAAATAACTGATTGTTGTAAACTGGTTTTATTGAAATGTTCGTATGTGATTTGTTCCATGTAATTGTCAGAAAACGACCGTCCCACCTCCCTGGTCCCAGACCTCATTGATTACAACATGCCTCTGACTGCCACCTACCTGAAGCAGATGAAGCTGCAGTGCATGACCGCCACGGAGAGGGTGAGTGTGTGTCTGACACTGGATATTTGACCATATGTTCAAATCTTCCTACTCAGCTCGGGTTGTGTTTGCACTGAGAGCACACCTCTTCAGAATATTTCCTCGTGAGCCTGCAGGAGACTCTGGGCATCCTTCATCCAACTTTTAATTCATTATGAAACAAGCAGAGTCCTCTTCCTGCTGGGAGGAGGAGCAGAGTGAAGTGAGGATTAGGAAAGCTTTTGTACGAGACACGTCATGTGTAAAACCACTCCCATGTGTCGCTGCCAGAGAAATGCTCAAAAACCGCAAGAGCGCTACTTGGTCCAGTTCATGTAGGCCTCATTCGGAATAATTGGGATTATCTGGAACAATGACCCACACGGGGATTTGTGGGTGAGTACAAATGAACAAACTCGTAATAAATGGGACTAATAGTTGAATAATGCAGCTCAGAGAGGGTTTCTTCTGTGTTTTCTGCTGTTTTGGAGCTGCAGATGGTGGAAAACGCTGCAGGTTTGTCATGTTGGGGGAATCACATGATGGGAATGTTTGTTTAGTCTGTTGCAGCTTCACTTCTCAGCTGCCTGCGTGCAGTTCGCCACAACTGGGAGTTTTATGGAAGCAACGCTGAAATATGAACATGTTTATCATTCTGTTTTTATCAAACATATTCGCAGAGATGCTCTTCAGGATGTTAGAGAGCAAAACAGAAACAGGGTCAGGAGGAATGATTAATGCACGTTTTAACCTAAGAATAATTGTATCATGTTTAACTATGAGCTGCTCACTAAGACCTGAAAGTCTTCAAACACAAAGCTCAATAAGTTAATTCATTATTTAAGTGTTTTTATACTTTAGTTGCTCAAATATTCCTCTACACTTACACAAAAATATGAGCATCAAAAAGCTTTTGACTTTGTTTAAGTGACGCATCGTCTACTTTATTTATTTCTTCACCTCAGCCTACATCCAAAGTTACCCCCTTTACTTCACTTTACTTTTGTGTGAAGCCCAGACATTATTGTTGCCTCCTCTTTGGAAAGCGTTGCCATTAGAGGCACTCTTTAATCGTGCACGACTCACTTGGTGCCCCTTAGAGCCGTCACTTATCACCATGGTCCTCCTCAAACCCCTAACAAAGGGACAGATAGTCCCAGGGCTTTGGGCCTGTTTGTGTGTCCGTGTGAGTCGACAACATGCATTTCTGCTCTGATCACAGCGTAGTGACTGAATGAGATGACACATGACGCCATAAATGCACAACTTTGGTGCTAAACTTAAATACTAAGCTCTGATTTTGTTTTTGTTATTTTTTGCTCTGAGTCTGAAGCTGGGGTCAGCCTCTGAGTAGTTTGTGAGAATATTCATGTTTTTTTTTTGGCTAATCCTGAGTCCAGTGTTGTGCTCATGGTTTGTTACGCTACAACAAGCATCTTCAGGGTCTCCACGTAACAGAGATAAAAATAGCAGAGCTCCAACAAACATAACAGAGACTCCTGCTGTCCCGCTCTGATTCCTACTTTTAAAAAGGCTAACATGCAGATATGTATATACACACACACACACAT